GTGAAAAAAAATACAGACTAACTTGTACCTCTCTCCCTGACGCAATTTTTACGCCTCGCGAAAATTTATGATAATAAGTGTACTTTACATGGAAAGACTCGAGATTTCGGGACTTTGAGAAGACGCTTCAATTGCTGGAAGGAAATTGTAAACTCTGAAATTTAAAAATTAGCTTGTAATTGTAATTGTGTTCCTGCCTTATCGATTGTATCCGATTTTTTTAAATGTGTAGCACACACACACACACACACACAAAATAAAATATAATATACGATGCACAATAAAATATATATACGATTTCGGCAATTCTCCTCTACATCGGCAGATTAAAGTCTACACGAGCAGGCGCGAAGATAACAAGGTGGCGATCGATCCTCTCTAACGACCTACATTTGCCTCAGTACACGTATGCATTTCGGAAGTATTTTCAACGGCCTCTCAGGTCCCCCGAAACCGCGGCCAGTTTTCCAATAAATTGCAGTGCATACGGTAGATGTGTACACATGCGTATACACACACATACACACAGTATATATGTGTGCACGTCATTCTTTCCGGCAAACCGCTAATTTATAAAAGTGGTTTTTTGCAGTAACGCACGTTGCCGAGATGCGTATAATTATTTGAGTGTAATTAATTGCCTATATCATAGAGATTAACAATCCAGACCGAAATACGAATTTCTGCGTGGATGTGACTGCGGGACAATCGAAGTGCTAACGGCCAAGGTGAAATTAATCCTTGCACGCGTGACACGCTTCGCCGCAACGTTAAATCAAATGAATTGGCCGTCTCAAAGGAGTGCATGCGAAACACGTAGACGGCGGGATCCTCATCCCGTTGTCTCTCGAATTCGCGCGGTAATTACGATAATATACGAGCCGTTTTCTTTTTCTTCTTTTTGTCACATACCCTTTAACCGAATCAAGGTGTCAAGCTCACGTGCGTTTAACGCGATCACGAGCCGTCGCTTGTACATTGACTGATCGCGAATAACGATAGAAAAGTTTAATTTCCGCGTGTTTTCCTTTTTTCTTCCTGTTTTGCATTCACGTTTCGGCGTCGACTTTCTCGCATGTTGCCCGCGCTGCAGATTTACAGCGCGAACCCCGAAACGGGTCTCGTCGCGGTTTGCAGGTCACGCTTTTTTCTCTCTCTCTCTCTCTCTTCTTTTTTTTTGTTTTAACTGCGATCTCCACGCGGATTTTGAATCAATCATGTTGTACGCGCTTGTCTCGTGTAGTAGCAAACTTGCAACGAGCCGCCACTATGTTCCGGAGCCCGCGGTGCAACCCGCTAGGCGGCACGCGAGGGAGAACTGCCAACTGAAACATCCTTCGAGCATCGTGTTTGGAGCCGCGGGCTCGAAACTCAAACTAGGTCCGTCGAAGGATCGGAACTAACGAGAACGAAGTCACCGTTTGCCGACCAGTTATTCGTAAAGAAGCAAGGAACGAATGGAAATGGTGCTCAGATAAGGTAAGAGTTCCAGTTCCCGAAAAAAAATATATATTTAAGAAGCAAATATATTTATTCGATGAGTACTAATGACGTACTTGCCTGTATTAATATAAAATATCTGTTCGAGTAAAAAAGTGTACATTTTCTTAAAACCTCTTAGTTTTTCATGAAAGCAATTGTTTATTCCATTTAAACAAAAGAACTTGGATTTAAGTCAATATGTTGTTAATATCTACCGAAATAAATATTTTTTTATTTTTTAGATATTTTCTCTCAGTATATCTAATTCTAAACATTCTTGTTGTTTTGAATATTTTGCTTTAAATATTTAAACTTTAGAATATATGTATGCATATATATATATATATATATATATATATATATATATAT